AGTAAGTCACAGTTTGACAAATTATTGTTATTATTGACAAGGGCTATCCACCTGTAACTATCTGTTAATGACAAAAAACATTATTGCCGCTGTGCCTTTTTATCAAAAAATTATAGAAGATAACTTTTTAGATATAAAAAATTTTCGTAATTTGAAGCAAAGATCGTTTTTGCTTTTTTTTTCCTTTTGAATACTTAAGTATTCCAATATGCTACCAATTAAACTTGGAACAATTTCAAAATAATGCTTAATAACAAAGTTGAAATTCGATCTTCAACTGTTAATATCTTCTAGAAAAAAAAATTTTCAATATTTTCATCGTACTCCCAAGGGAGCCTCTATCACCCCTTAAAAGAAATGACGCCAATTTTGAATCACCCTGTATATTTCCTTTGTTTTGTCTGGCTGTCTTCTCTTTATATTACTTACACTTTGCCTTTGCTCTGTCCCGACCCGATTTGATGGCTTTTGACCAGGATTTTGTCCGTGGATGTGGTCAGAAGCCTTTGGCAGTTCAGCGACCAATAAGCCCCCCATTTAACGGATCGAATTTCCTGCAGCCGAGCAGTTTTACCACTCAAATTCCATTAGGGCTTAAAGGATTACCGGTTGTTTGTCAATGGCCATTTACGGAATTAGAGTGAGCGCACCCTCAACGGGAAATTTGGGTTGATGAGGGCGGCAACACCGTGCCCACTTGAGTGTTGGCGGATTGATTAAGAGCCCTTATCGGTTTGAGGGCCGCAATGTGCTTCACGTTGGCTGCAAGGCAATTGAAACTGTGAATAATGGGGCCCCTTTTTTGTCGAAGTGAACTGAATGCAATTGTAGCGGCGCGCCAAGCGAATCGTGAAAACACCTGCCGCCCTAATTAGAACAAAATGCCACCCGGCACGCGTGTCAGCCCCCTTGATTCCAGTATTGCTCACTTGACTTTGGCGGGGCTGCGCCCCCTGTGCGCCCCTGACCCACTTTGGGCGCCCAGCGGCACCTGGCCGAGTTCCAAGTGCCCAAAGGCAGCGGCGGGTTCCTCATATGGTAATAAATATGCAAATAAAAGCTTTGTTAGACCCATTAACTACCCATTAGGCTCGGGCGTTTGCTTAAGTGTAGCGGCAATTAGGTGCGGGCAGATAACGAGCGATCGCTCAGCTTGATTATGCGAAATGTAATTTTGTTTTTTCGGATTTCGATCAAACAGCCCACCACCCGGAACGGTCCGTTGCCTATCTAGAGCGTTCGGACTCTTAATTCTCGGGTGTTTTTGACGCACCCCCGTATGTCAAAGCTGGTATTCACTGCAGACCTGGAATGGTTGACAGCATATGTCAGTCATAAGTGTCGCGTTGGTTTTTAGTTTTTATGTAATTGCGGTGCTTTTTAGAGAAAATAAAGTTCTAGTATACCTACTTAGATCAAATACCTACGTGAAAATATGGACACTTGAGAGCATGTAACATGTGTTAACTCTCTGGAATAAGAAAAGTGAGGTTGTGCTTGCGCGAGATGCTTGTTTGCGGCCTCTGGATGGTGGACAATGACATTTCTGGTGTTGCCAAGATGTGGATGGTTTCTGGCAAAAAATGAAAAAGCCTCATGGTAATAAAAACTTAATTGTTTATTCTAGGATTCTATAATTTTAACATTAATATACAGTGTCATTGAGCCGAAATAAAACAACCGATTACATTCGGTCCAAGGGTACGATTGCCCTGATGTACCGCAGTGTTCACTCTGGCCAGCTAAATCTTAACTTAATTTACAAAAAAATATGTATTTATACAAGGGGGAGGAAAAACGAGAACGGCGGTCGTCCGGCAACGGCGCCCACGCCGGAAACTGTCCCGCCGGACGTCCACCAAGCACAACAAAATAAATTATAATACAAATTTATATCACAATGTCACACTGAACACTCCAAGGTCCACCCGTTGATCACGCATTACACATGGATGGTGTCCTCGTCGTCCGAGGGCGACCGTCGGCCACCTGGCGATCCTGGAGAGCCGGGATCCAAGGGGGCGTCCGGACTGGGCGACCGGGGCGACGGTCCATCGGACGTGTGGTTCGAATAGTAGCTGGACAGATTGGTCAGCGAGCTGCTGGCGGCCAGCGAACCCAAATGGGCGCTTGGTCCGGGCATGCCACCCATCCCCATAGCGGGCGGATACAAGCGGTAGGGCAGCGGCTTCTGAAGGGTGGCGGCCGCGGCCGCCGCCGCCGCCTGCCGGTAGTACAAGTCGGCAGCGGTGGGCGCCGCTTGCGGGGCGGCGTTCTGGGGCGGGTACCAGCACCCGTAGGGCGGCCCTCCGTACAGTCGCTGAAAGGCCGCATAGTTGCCTGCCTCGGCCAGCAGTTCCAAACCGACGGCCGTCTGGCGCTTCCATTTCGTTCTGGAACAAGCAGAAACAAGGATTTTTAATGCCCTGTTGCCAAGTTGTCGGGGTTTTCCCGAAAATACTAGTTGGGCTACAAAGTTGATATTCGATTTTTAACAGTTAATATCGTCCATGTTGCCAGATTGAGGAATTTTTCCTCAAAATACCCTTTTGACACATTTCGTTTCCTGCTGTTGCTCGAGAATGGTTGAATGGAAAGTATGAGTGTGCGTGGGTTGTTTGGGGGCTCCCGACTCCAATTTAATCAATTAGTGGAATGAATTGAAGCGCATCGCCACAAAACAGTTGAACAAAACCGCAAAAGTGGTTGGGACGTTTCATTAACGAGCACGCAAGTTGTGGAACACATTGCCCCAACCATATGGCCAGGAGAGGTGAACAAAAAAGCGCTTTGTTTCCCCAATCGCATCGTTATTATAAACATATTAACGGGCAACAATGGGAAATAACGTCAGTCACGTCTAAACAAGCCGACATGGGGGTGGAAGTGGTTTTTTTGTCTTTCGTGGTTGTTTTTCGGTGTTCGTTTGTTTGCCGGAAAAAACCGCCCTCTTATATCGGCAAGCCGGCCGTGACTAAATAGGCCCCCTCCTAATCGGCGCTGATGAGACGACGAGAACACAAGTAATTAAGCGGGCCGATGACGACTTTGGCCTAAATGCGAAATAATCAGGGTTTGATTGATTTTTCGAAAAATCGCCGCTTTTCATCTGTTTACGGGCCTCCGGCCGAATACTGTCGAGTCACTATTTAGACCGGGAATTATGCGAGAAAATTGATGTCGGCGTCAAAAATAAATAACGTCTGAACGCATTTCACAGTTGATGCGATCCGGTACCGTGGGGCGGGCGAATTCGTTTGGAAATTCATCCTGGGCGACAGGTACCATCAAAAAAGGGCCTTATCAACTGGCAACCTTGGATTTTCATTTCAATTCGGTTGTATTTACAATATTAAGGACTGGGAATAGAGAGTTGCGAAATTGGATTTTTCTTGATAGTTTTCTAGTCTTATTAAGGTCTGGTTTCATTGTGGGAAGTGGTGCAATTGTCTCCTAAGAGATTCCAACAATAGAGTGTGCAAATATTCATTAGCGCCATTGGGCTCGTTTTGTCTGTCTGTCGACTTTTATGGCCTATTTCTCCTTATCCAGGCCGGATATCGCGATTCCGGCATCGAAGATTGATTAATCAAGGTTGGCTTAATACTCGGTGTAAATTAGGTTTGAAGGACATTGAATAGTTATAAATTTTGGAAGTTTGAAAAGATTAGCGCAATCTGGCCTGTCTTGCACTGTCCAGCTTCTAGGCCTGATATCGGGACGCGGGCTTCAAAAATCCATAAAGCAAACTTGACTTCAGGCAGGATGTAAATTGGGCGCTTTTTCGGCAAGTGTCAAAAGTCATCAAAATTGCGCGATTTGGCTCTTGTTGCACTGTCTAATTTTATGGCCCATATCTCAGTATACAGGCCGGATATCGGGATTCGGATTTGAAAAAATGTATAAAGAAGACTAGACTTAAGATTCGATGTCCATGGGGCGGAGTTTAAATTGTTATAAATTTTTAAACTTTCATAATATTTGCGCGATTTGAACTTTTTTACACGGCACGGTGTTTGTGGGCCAATTTTATATCAGACACAGACAATCTTAGCTCTAGATAGCATACACTAATTAAATCAACTACATAAAATATAAACACCTGATACCTATATTGAAGAAATGCAGACCAAGTCCTCAATTCCTCAGACAAATTCCTCTGAATGCAAAAAAAATGCCAAATATTATAAACAGTTTTTCTATTCTTTCGCTTGATATTGGACGAAGTAAAGATTTTTCAATGGCTTGCCAAATGTGAAGGTAGAAACAACCATACAAGTAAATAAAATTTTAATATCTAAGCAATAAATTCTAATCTTTTCCCGAACATGATTGTCCTGACTCATCACCTGTAATCCCAAAAGATTCAAACGATTTTAATATACTTTTTAATATGTTTGTAATTTGTGTTTTACTATGTATATTTAACAGAGCTCTTCTTTTAAACTAATAACGACTGTGAATGTATATTTTGGACAAACTGATGATGGTGGAGAAAAACACCGAAACGTTTTTGTAACATTTTAAATGGTAAACAATAAAATTGACTGGAACCCAGGAATTTCTTTTGAATTAAGTTGAAATACAGTCAGGAAAATATACACAATTTAGGCTCGATGTTAATTGGGTACCATTCGTAGGAAAATTTGAATTGTCATCAATTTTGTAAATTTCATAAGATTTGGATTTTGCACGGTGTTACTTTGCGGCTTATTGCTCAACATCCAGGCCAGACATCCGGATGCCGTTTTCAACCTGTAAGTAAAGCTCCACTGAAGCTTGCTGCGAATTTTCTCCTAAATTCGTGGATCTGGCGTTTTTCAATAAAAATCTGAAAACTCCACCAAACGTTGATCAGCTAGTTCGATTGCTTTTGCAACTCATAAAAGATGGGGGAAATAAATCGTGAAACCGGACAAAATGTGAATTTATTGATAGGATCGAATAGCAATAATATGGAAAAAGCAGAATCGGAAAAAGTGCTCATTTGTTACGCGGACAGCACGGTCCAATTGAGTAATTTCGAATAAATTGTCGCGGGAATATGGACGCGCTTAATTTCCATTATTATGATTATTATTAATAATATTGTTTATTAATTTAATTTTATTCGGTCCGATTTGGGCGTGTCGTTGCCAGGGCGTGGCCCATCGCCACCAACAATCCCCCCCACCCTTGCAATAAATCTCACAGTCTTATACAGCTAATCCACTAAACAAGGAAAACCAATTTAGCAACATCTTGTCCATGTCGTGCAGTCGGCAGATGAATCGGTTTGGGGACCCCCCCTTAAAGGCCGATTCACAAGGGGTTGCGCGACAATCATTAAGCACACTCGAATGGTTCTTCTATTAGGCCAATGCGCCTAATAGTTATTTGTCAACCGGGCCCGGAGATTTATGATGGGAATGCGGTCGAAAGGTAGCACGCATTCCGGCCACTTGAACTAATTTTACTGTCATTTAAATGGCAACTACCTAACCAGAAGTTTAATATGGCCTGGTTTGTCATCATCGGCAAATGTGACAGCTGGCAGGGCTTTAATTAATTGCTAAGGGCTGGTTCAGACGTTGACATTTAATGCTGTGGCAGCATTCGACATTCGATGTCATGGTCTAAATTAAAAATGTTTAAAAGAGCCTCTTCTGTTTGGTCCCATTTTTGTTTGTATTTTGACTGCTAACATTTACACCTCAAAGCCGTCAAACTGACATGAACGTCACAACCGTATGACATTGAGGCATTCAACAGTTTAGACAATGACACTCTTGCGGAATTCACGTCATTAATGTGACAGGGCGACCATGGCGCCCTCTATCCAGCCTGGCAAGTGGTCAGTGCCATTAATTGAAATGGGCAGGCAAAGTGGTCGGTCGGTTGCGCTTTTCGAGGCAATTTTTATGAATGAAGAAACGCTTCGTGTGCATTCGAGCGCATAACGACAGACCGAGAGGGCCGTTGACATAAAGACGGTAATTTCGTCCCGATTAACCGCTCGTTATTTTGTCATAGTCAGTGTCATTTTCGGAAAGTGCAACGGTTCCTTGCAATGGTCGACGTGGTTCGAGCCATGGGAGCGACGAGTTTCACTTTTAAAAACTGGTGCTGGCTAAAAGTGGATTGCATGCGGTGCGGCAGTCCAATCCGCAACAATTGAAAGAGCCGTCGGAAGCATTTAAGAGCGCGCTGGCCTTATCTGGGCTTAATAATGTATGTTAAACTACCCTTAAGTGCCTGGCAAATTGCTGTTGGAATATTGCGAGCGTTTTTCCCCCGACACCACGCCATCTGCATGCACGCGGCCGCCAAAGAAATGGATATCCTCTCCTTGTTGCTGCCCTATCAGCTACAAGGATCGCTTTCCATGCTTCATGTAATGGAGGCAGTGTTGCCAGCACTATTATCTTCCTACCAGATTTATTAGTATTAAAGACGATTATTTATCTTAACTATCGAAGTTACCCTTGGATTTAATTGTTTTATCAGAAAGCAGGAAAACTAGAAAGTTGATTTTCTATTCTTTAGTAGCGCAAATTCCGTTCTATAAGTCAGAAACTTTTCGAATTTGAGTCATCAGGGAATTTTTAAGAAATTTCCAGTCGCGACTCGTTTTTGTACGGGTTTTCCTCACGCTGAAGTTTAGAATTTATTTAAGCCGAACCTAAAAAAGTGAAAAAGTCAGTTTTAGATGTTTTTCGACTACCTACGTCTCTTCAATATGTGGAGAAAGTTTCGATCGTCAGTCATCTTCAAGCTATTTTTGACAATTTGTGTCTGTTTTATCGGGTTGGTTATGCAGGCAGGCGTTTGGCATTTACTTGTTCAGAAACAAAACAACGTTGATACTTTTATATTCATTTTGCGATTTTCAGTCATTATCAGAGAATATTCAAAAATTTTTGAAATTTACATGTGATTTTCGCGGATGTTTCAGCAGGTCGTTGTTTCACATTTATTTGTTAAGCAGCTTGCAAAGTTAAAGAGTCAGGTTTAGATGGAATTTGTAGGGCAAAATCTGTTCTATAAGAAGAAAAGGTTTAGATTTTTCAGTCATGATCAAGCAATTGTCAGACATTTTTTTAAATTGCAATTTTTGCATGCCGGAGTTTAACATTTACATCCTCTGTCACTTGCAAAGTAACTAAATTTTCCAAGCATTTAGAATTTATTTTGAAAAAAAAATAGGGTCTGACTTACGAGATTGTCTTGCAGACCGGAATTTGCCATTTATTTAGTCAGAAACTAACAAACTCCCAGAGTTACTTCTATATGTATTTTGTAGGGCAAAGCATTTTCTGCAACTACCAACAGTTTCGATTTTCTGCCATCATCAGACAATTGTAAGAATTTTTCAAATTTGCAAACAGGTCGAAGTTTACCTATTTATTTTTTCGTAACATTTATTTTCTCTGCAACTTGCGAAGTGAGAAAGTTAATTTTGAAGGCATTTTGTAGGGCAAAGTTCCTTCTATAAGCGAAGAAAGTTTCGACTTTCAGTCATCATCAGGCAATTTTCAAGATTTCTCCAAATTTGCGTGTGGTTTTTGTGGTTATTTCACCCATGCAGGTTGGAGTTTCAAAGTTATTTCGTCAAAAACTAGTCAAGTTAGGGATTGACTTTTGTGTGAATTTCGTAGGGCGGAGTCCGTTTTATTAACGACAAAAATTTAGATGTTCAGTCATCATCAAGCTATTTGTAAGATTTTCTGAAAACTGTCAGCGAATTTTGTGGTTGTTAATGCAATCTTAAGTTTGGCATTAATTTGCTAAAAAACTACTGAAGTTAGAAATTGATTTTTGTTCCTTATTGTCTGTTCTATGTAGGTACGAGAGGCGTTTCGATTTTCCATCATCATCAGGCAATTTTCTTCTTTCCTTTTTATGGTGACGGTGACGTAACATTTCAGTTGCGCCATTGCCAGATTGTGGAAAAATGTTCGTGATACATTTCCCCTGTTGAAAAAGTCTTCTTTGATTAATCTGTTGGGTCCTTTGGGTACCGTTTAGGATGACGGGGACATTCTCTCAGATTTGTCACGGTGCATTCGGCCATAAAACGCCTGACCAGCTTTTATTGCCTTGTGGCTTTTTCCACTCCGCTGCTGCTTTAGGCACGCTGCACGCTCGATCTAAGCTGTTTACTTAGGAGAAACGTTTTGTGTGTTTTAACACTTAAGGATTTAAATTGCTTCTGCAGCCCCAAGTTCCATCACGCTGAAGCCCGTACAGTGTTGCATGAGGGAAAACTTCCGTTTTTGCCCCAACTTTGACTGCTCTTCTTTCTGCTCAGTCACAGTCGTTTGTTTAATTAGCGCCTTCTGCGCTCACCTCGACTGCACAAAGGGCCGCGCCACAACCAATTAGTCGTCTAATTGTCTTCTTCGGCTGATTCTTCTTCCGCCGCTCGTCGCTTGATCGGGTCCGGGCTATTTGTTGAAATCATTTAGTCACCTAATAATTACGCCCGGTTATACGGGAGGACGCAAAAGTGCTGACCCATTGCGGAGGCGCCTCCAAACGACCAAAGCGGTCACTTAGAGTATCCGCCCCTGTCTGGGGGGTTGCAAAATGTCCATTGTCGATGATGCTTTTGACGCCGATCTGTGACTTTAAACGTTTGCCCAAGAGGGCTATTTGGATGAGTCTTGGTGCAGTTATCCTCTATTAGATGATGTAAAGGTAAATCTTGACGTCATTTTCAAAAACTCGCTAAAAATTGCTTAAAAGAACCAGTCGGATGAAACTTGCGGCCGTTGGTAAGCACGGTTTTCTTTATAAAACGCGGCAAGACATTCATATAATTTTCTTGGCTTTCCTGTCGGTTGAGTAATTTGTAGTTTTGCATCGCGTTGCATCGCGACTCATCTTCAAAAAATCGTAAAAACTCGCGCAAAACAGCCAGCAGCATGAAACTTTTTGCAGTGACTAAATGTCGTTTTCTCTACTGAGTGGTGCAAAAATGACATTCTTAACTTCAAGATCTGTTGCGCAATTAGCCGTTTTCCAACGACCCGAGTCGACTACTAAGTCATTTTGACGTTGTTGAGACAGTGTTGCCACACAAGACGTTTTTCCCCAGCCATTGCAGCCATGATGGGGCGGGGGCCTCGACCAATTGCGGTAATCTGAATATTGCGTGATCCGTGACCGGTATAAATCAGTCAGAGCCATTTTGCCAATTAAGGCCGATTTCCCCGATCGGTACCGTACTCGTCGAATCCCAGCCAATTGAGGCTGATTATCTGCTTCATGTCCGGAAAACACGCAAAGATCGGCGAAATTGCCCCGCATTCCCCCGAAACTGCACCAGCACCACTCAAAATGCAAAAACAACCGAATGGAAAGGTGTTGAATGCGGCAAATTTGCCCCCCAAAAAGATGCAAATTTTGGGGGCGATTTCTCGCCCTTGTCTCTCGCCGACTGTCTGCGCCGATTACATCTAAGTAATCGCTGCTGGCGAATAGTGATTTGTGGAAAAATGCGCGCCGCGTCGAATTTTTAAATTGATTTTTTGCCCGCATCAGCGTACAAAATCAAAAATCATTTAAACAAACTGCCCTAATATCCGTAAAGTGATTCTATTTACACGCCGTTTTTGCTCCAACGAGGAGCGCATCTCGACCGAATTTGACTTGTCATTTTGTTTAAATAACTTTGATAGTTTAGGTAAATAGGATTTTCGATGCTACGGCCCGGTGCCCATCACTCCTAATCGGCACTTTTTTGAATCTACTCTTAGTAGAAAAGCCTGTGATAGATCCAGAAACGTCTCGTCACACTGCCGAGGCAGCCTTGATTCATGTAGTTTTTCAGAGGCGAGGCGCTTTAGTTGCTTAATTAATTAGGATTTAAGGCAATTAATTAAGTAGCTACACTCTTAAATTACGTCATAGTTTATTTACCGTATTGCTCTTGTGCTCTCTTAATCTCGTTAACTCAAATGCCACCTGTCTAGTGTCTAGTGGGACGGTTGACAGATTGGATTTAAGACGAGTTGAGTTGGTGAAAAAAAGCCAGTAGTTTGGCGGCCGTAGTTCTTCCTGACTCATCAATTCGTCCAACAAAGAACAGTCTTCTCATGGCTGCTTAGAAGCCATTGGGCCTATTATACACGGTGTTTTTATGGCGAGTAAATAATATGGCGATGGAGAAGGCTTAAAATTATAATTATATTTCGTGAATAAACTATTATTCTGGGTGACTTTTTGTTGGAAGGAACCCGGGTTCTCAGATCGGGCCACTTCTAACATGTAAACGCAGATTTAATTGGATTTGCTTGCGGTGCCGCTGTCGCCGCCTCAATTTTTCGTTCCAACTAATTTGGTTGGGCTGGTGGAGGCCTCCGAACTAGCAAGACTTGTGACTTTTTACCATTTTTCACTGATGAATTTAAAATTCCCGCTTTTAACCAGCCGGTAATATAGAGAGCGGTAGCATGTCAATTGTGATGTGGCCCATCAAATTTTTCTGTAAATGTCAGTTGTGACGTCTAGTCCACAATCTGTCAGTGTCATGGTCGGTTAGCGGGCAAAAAAAGCGCAGACTGATCGACGACCGTTTTAAATGCACCGTTATCGGCTAAATGCCCGTTCAGACAAATTAAACGGCCTGCAACTAATTAGAATGTCGTATCGCGCGATTAATTAGCGAATCATTTAGTTAAGTCGCCATTAATTAGGCCGTGATTTCGAATGGTGAACTCACCGTCGGTTCTGGTACCACGTCTTGACTTGCGTGTCGGTCAGACTGAGCTTGGCGGCCAATTCCATCCGGTCCTGGACGCTCAGGTACTTTTGTCGTTCGAAGCTCTTCTCCAGCGTCTGGAGCTGCAGGTCAGTGAAGGCGGTGCGAGCTTTCCGCTGCTTTTTACTGATGCCGCCACTGGACCCCTTGGACGAGTTGATCGAGTCGTCGCCGTTTTGGCCTGGAACAACAAAACAGTTGATGAGCAAAACTTCCATTTTATCGCGCGCTGCGGCTCTGATTGGGCGCCGTTTCCGGTCGTGGATTGTCCCCAACGCCGCCGCCACCGCCCGCCAAACAACCGGGGAGTGTCATTGCCATAAAACGGCCGCGATGGAACTTTGCCCCTTTTTCTAGGGGGAAATGGAGCAAGATTTTGGCCAGCCGTGTTCCAGATTTGCTGTCTTGCAAGAGGTGGACCGCGAAGGTTTATTGAGTAGTGATGAGCAAAGCAAGACCACGACCAAGACGTGCGTGGTCACTTCTGTATGATTTTCTTATTAATGGTAAAATCCGAAGGTTCATCAATTAAAGGCTGTGACTTTTGAGGGCCGATTTAATGTGGTTCAATTTTGCAAGAGTTTTGCAAGGAGCTCACTCAGCTCTGTGCGTTCTAGAGTGTTTTTTTACGCGCAATTAAAAGGCGATTTATCAACAACATTTTCGTGCAGCACGTTCATGCAGCTGCGTTCTAGAATGGCTAGTGGCGCAATGCCAATGTAATTTTGGGATTTTTCTCTTTAAATTTCCCAGAGCTGCGTTCTTGAAAGTTTATCAGGCGCAGTGGGAGGAAGAAGTGAGGGGCGATTTTTGGGAATTTCCGCAACACTTCCCCAAAGCTGTGTTCTATAATGTTCGCTTTCCCAAGTTTTGATAGTATGAAAGTGAAGTTTTGCTTCCATTTAGCGGCCGTTTGGATGTGGAACGGCTGCCAAGTGCGGTACTGAGTAGGCCTGGGTAACCCTGTGTTGAGCTGCGCTTTTGAGTTGTTGCCGCTCTCTGAGTTATTGAGGTATAATTCAGTGGTTAATGAGTTAGCACAACATAACTTAAGTCAGTATTTTTAAGTGAATCTTTAGAAAATTGAGCATTTGGAAAAAAGAGTCACTTTGCTAAAACTGTAAAAGTCTAAAATTTTGAAGAAATGTGAAAAATGTTACTGATAAATGGTACCTAAAATAAATCTAAAAACAAGTAAAAAAAGTAATCACGATATTCCCAGCAACGGAACTGAGTCACTGCGCCGGTGCGTTGGGTTGGTGCACCAAGAAATTTGGGTAACACTGCGCCAACTCCTAAAAATGCATTGAGTTACCCAGGCCTAGTACTGAGTGGACTTTTTGGCGATTTTTACCATTGTTCTCCTAAATTTGACAAAGCTGTGTTCTTGACTGTCGTTTCATGTTAGGGAGCGATTTATGCGAGTCTACACCACTTTTGCGAGTTACAACTATAACACAAAATACATTATTTGCCACTGTTTTCCTGATATTTCAAATTGTTAACGTGCGCGCAAATATCCACAGACTGGGAACCATCACGCCTTCCAGAGTCGAAAGCGGTAGAGTTGTAGCGATCCATTAGCGCCGTGGCCTGATTCGTTGGCATTTTCGATCATAATTTACGGGCAAGCGAACAGGCTCTCACACAGTCTGACCGCGCCCGTTAACGATCGCCCTTATCTCGGACCCTTCAAAACGAAGATAATGCCGGACAAGATTTCTAATTCGGGTTATCGCTGTTTGCGGGCCGGACCGTCGCATCGCATCTCCCCGCTGCCCACGTGGGCCGTTTATCTAAACACGGGCCCGTGTCTTCTCCTCTTCTCACTCAAATCGATTTAAAATTAAACCCGTGTCAGCGATAATAACGGAACACAATCGTGTTCAATTCCCCCGTATCTTAATGTTCCCTTATCGGAAATGTTTATTTCAATTAAGTATTTTGCGATGTACCTCCGCCCACCGCCCATCACGGGAAATTAATGTTATGGGCGCGATGCGATAGTGAGTCGGATGCGGTCCTGTCCGGTGCGGCGCACCTGATACTCGTCTGACGTGGCGATTTAGTGGGCCGAGTTGGCCCGAACACGCTGGAACGGCGTTCGGGCCGGCTACGAGCGCGGCCAGCACAGGCCCGGCCTTAGAGCGGTTTGGAGGGCAGTTTGCGTGCCAGATTCCCCAACCACATAACTAATAGGGGTAGATTAGCAATTCGAGAGCGGCAATAAACCTGCAAGTACGTTCTGGAGCCCCCCATTGCCATTAATGGGGGGCAATTACGTTATGGGCATTTCGCGTGCGGCTAAGTGTCGGTGTTTGCTATCATTTCGTAGCTTTTTACAATTTTCCACTTTATCAGATTTGGTGTCGCCCACCACGTTCGTCTATTGTGTGTGTTTGTGTGAAATCGAAGTTTTTCGCATTCAAACAAAGCGCGCCACTGTAAGACGCGCTTTAATTGCATCCTGCAAACTGCTGCCGTTCGTTAATTGGTTTTCCTTATTTAAATAAACCGGCGATATTAATCAAAACTAATTTATCTGGTCGTGAATAAAACATCGAGCGCTAAGTTCTTGTCAGTTTTGCGCTAATAAAAGTTACAGTTATTAATATGGAATATGATTCGGTTTACATAACGCGGTAATTGCCCGATCGGCGGCCAATTACGCGGCTTAACAACTCCGGCCAGCGATCGGTAGCTGAATAATGAATCAAGCGATTTTACTCCATTACAACATAAACAACTAACAAACAACAGCAAGAGCAGCGAAGGCCCGGAAATGTACTCGGTCTAAAAAGGGGGGCCCTTTATGCGAATCTGATTCGATTAGGAGGCGGCATTGTGTGTGCGCGCCCCCATCAATCCACTTGGCTTTCTGCCCCCGAACAATGCCGGTCGCCGCCCCCGATTTTACCCGCATTATCATATGCCAAACATACACACATTGCCCGGTTTCAATCAATCGACCATCGAATCCTCGTGATTGATCACTTTTCATTTATCGGGAAATCGGCTATTTTTGTTTTTCATGCTCTACAACGATTTTTCTGGTGCGGGGACATTAAATCTATATGTGTCTTCATGCAAGACATTTTGGATAGTATGGCACCGCCGCGTTTCTTCTCAATAGATAATCAAGTGTCATTTTCTCTATTTTACGCCTGGGTAACTCAATTAATTTTTGAATTTTTTTAATGAAAACTGTAGTTTGTTAAAAAAAATTGGTTGTTTAGTTTTGACTGATTTTTTTTGCTTTGCTTTCTATTCAAAAACGCTCTATTTTGTAGAGTTTCACTTAAAAATACTGACGACCTGGAGGTTCTTACCCGAAAAATTACAAGATATATTTATAGCTTTGTAGGAATTTTACAAAAAAAATTTCGGAATCGAATTCGGGACAAAAACGAAAATAAATTTATTCCGTTTCTTCCCAAGACACATTAAGATTTTCTCATAAACCGATCAGAAAACCAAACGTTTTTAATCAAAAACGCACAATAACATTATTTTCTGATGATTTTCCATTTTCTGACAATAATTGGGTCTTTTCAGCCAAAAATGACAAAATTAATTTTGCTAGAAAATTCGCCTCGTTTATCGGTTTGCAGGGAACTTTAGAAAACCCTTTTCAGCTTCGAATTTGACCCGAAAAGCAAATCATTTTATTCAGTTTTTTACCGAAAGTATAATTAAGATTATCTTGAAAAAACGGCCAGAGAGCAATAATTTCCAAAAGAATTATTTGGAAAATTCGCCGCCCTTCGCTCATCACTCTGAAGATTTTTCAAGTTTCTTTAAAATTTCAAGTCATTCCAGTTTTCGCAAAGTTTCTATTAAGCTTTTTTACTTTAAATACTGACAATCTTCAGGTAGCTTCTGTCAAAATTATAAAACAAATTTAATTGGAACACTCGGCTCTTGACCAGCATTATAAATTTTTTTCTAGAACCTTTGGAGCTTCGAATTTTGTACAAAACCCTAATAATTTTTCCTGGATTTTTTCCCAAAAATATTTCCCCGAACAGAACAAGTGAAAGTTTATAATCAATTATTCGGAAAACGAATCAGTTTTGTCGCTGTGAATGCATCCAAAACAAAGTACTTATAACAAGCAAGATGCAATAAGTATCGTTATTTTTCTATTTCTTGTCCAACGAGCGGGAAGGAAATTGTTCAATTCGCTGAAGTTTTCGAAGAATATTAAACATTAATTTATTTGGTTTTAGAGTGTTGGCAGTTTCAGTAAATTTTTCTCTTCAATTTTCCGAGACATTTTCTATCTGTGTGTGTGTGTGTAATTGTCGGTTACCGAAAGTGCCTTAGCAAAACTGTGAGGGCCAAGGGTTTATTTTCCTCACATTTTCACCATCATTGCTTTCATCTTGTATGAGTATTTTATTCGTTTGTCTATTTTCTTCATGGTTTCACAGAAAGAAAATATTTTGAAACAATCTCGGATATAAGTAAAATAACCGTCGTTTTGAAAGGCATCGTTCAGTGGCGTTATCAAAAAATGCCTCTTTATCATATGGCATATTAAAAATACCCGTTTTGAATTTGGGACAAAATCGAAACAAAGTTGTCTTGTTTTTTTCAACAAAATTTAGGAGTCCTCAAAAAACGACCAGACAAATCAAAATCATATAATCAATACTTGGAAAAGTCGTCACCCTTATCGCTCTGAAATGTTTTTAAGTTTCTTCAAAATCTGCGAATTTTCCCGTTTTGGACCAAGTTTTAAGCAATCGTATGCGTAAAAGCAATATGTTGATGGCTTTTTCTGATTAACCAATGAGTTAAAACTCATTAACTCAGAGCGAGAGAGAGAGCAGCGACAACTCAAAAGCGCAAGTCAACACAGTGCTACCCAAGCCTACTCTATTCATCCAAAACAAAGTACTTATAACAAACAAGATGCAATAAGTATCGTTGTTTTTCTATTTCTTGTCCAACGATCGAGAAGGAAATTGTTCAATTCGCTGAAGTTTTGGAAGAATATTAAACATTAATTTGGTTTGAGAGTCTTTGGCAGTTTCAGTAAATTTTTCAAGTTTTCTTGTCAATTTTCCGAGACATTTTCTATCTGTGTGTGTTTGTGTAATTGTCGGTTACCGAAAGTGCCTTAGCAAAACGGTGAGGGCCAAGGGTTTATTTTCCTCACATTTTCACCATCATTGCTTTCATCTTGTATGAGTTTTTCATTCGTTTGTCTGATTTCTTCATGGTTTCACAGAAAGAAAATATTTCGAAACAATCTCGGATATGAGTAAAATAACTGTCGTTTTGAAAGGGATCGTTCAGTGGCGTTATCAAAAAATGCCTCTTGAGAGCGGTAGGAACCCAAACTAACCCAAACTAAACGCGTTGGTGTCAGTTTAATACCAGTTTTATCCCCATTTTCAATTTAATTGTACATTTGGCGGCGATGTACACATCCAGTTTCCTGGCACTAAGTGACGTCTCCTGGTGCCCAACTAAACCCAACGTTGCCAGTTTATGCGTTTTGGGGCGGATTTTCAATCGCTAATTGAACGCGGATTAATGCGTGCAAATGATGCGGGCTTTCGATTTCGTTCAGCTTACATAAACGGATTGCGGTTGAAATGCGCTCTCTTCCTTCACTTTGATGTAATGCGAGTTGCGTGATGTGCGAGGAACAATGCAAAGGAAGTGCAGATACGATGCCGTTTAACATGTAAATTGAAATAAATATTTCATGGTTGGCGTGGTTGGGAAATGTAATTGTCGAGCGGCGTTTCGACGGTTGGGACGTGCGATCATCAGACGCGATGATGGATCCACAATGGCCGTTGTAGATTATGGATTTTCTATTAGGCGCGAATTAGCATTGTTCGGACATGAAACCGGCCGCGGCTCGCTTGATAAACATCTTAATTCGAGCGCGGGGTTGTAGTATTAAATGCGGAACTTTGGCCAAAGAGCGCGATCTTTTTCATGCCAACAAAACGGCATTTGTTTGATTTCGGGCGGCCCCCTCGATATGGAAATCAGCTCGGTGCCAAGCACGCAATTGCCCTGTTAACCACTCCAATCACAACAGTTTCTTCACTTGTTCGCTTCAAGCACAAACCATCTTCATCTACGATAGTTGGTGCAGTGTTGCCAGCTAGGCGGGCCGCGTGAGTAACGACCCAGGAATGTTGGCGGCCCAATTAAAAAGCCATAAAATCACCACACGAAATTACACGGTTTCTATATGTATGAACCACTTGGGAAACGTGGCCTGCCCTGTAATCGACCTCAATTTATGCAGCTATTCAAATCGACGGCAATTTGCCCATTTGCCTGAATACCAGTCCATCCGTGCTTGCAGTCCCAACCCGAAGGGTGGCGATTTCTGGAAGCACTCAAACTGTGACTTCTTCCGCTACGCTGCCTCGATTTAATTGCCTTATTAACCGAGTGGCCGCTATTGTTTGCCTTCCTCTTCTTGCTTCATTATTATTAATATTATTATTAAAACAAACACCTCTTACCGAATAAATACGGGAAAACGAGTCCACTTTGTTTTTAATTAATACGAAGTGTGAATTCACATCATCATCACCAGCATGATGATGATCGCAGTTGGTTACTGTTCCGCTTTTCCATTGTTCGTTAATCCAGGCAGGTGTTTTGTTGCAGTTGTTTTAGCGTTAATTAAACAAATTGGCGACTCAACAACGCACCGAAAGGGCGCGCTTTCGCTCCCGCTAATTAATAAACCTTATTAAAATTGAAATGATGACGCGCTTTGATTGCCGCCAAATGCCATTCGCGGTCTTAACAAGAAGTGTTAAATGGACGCATTAAAGCGCTCCTGCCTACTTAATATCCATCAGATGTGGAGTATTTTAATTGGGGCCCTCTTTTGCATAATATACATACACACATGATATGCGGCATCGAACCGGTATATTTACCTGGGCCAGGGACGGACTGGCATGCGGCAAACAGTCTATGGGACTTTTTCCCGATTATTGGCCAACAAATTGGGGCAATTATTAAGGGTCTTTAGATATAAAGTAGTAAAGCCTGAAATCGGGCTGTGCGATAAACGTTGGAAATAGGGGATTGTAAAAATTTTTCTGGGGATTTTTAATGTTGGCAACTGTGCAAGTCGATGACGGCAAAAAAACTGACCTTCAATTTATTGCAGTTCAAAAGTGCGTAGTGTAAAACCGACATTAGGGAGTTGTTATGGTAACAGTATTATTGGGCCCGGGCAAGCTGCACCATTGGAGTCGGATGGGGAAGATGGTCGCAGCTAAATCCGTGTGAGACGTGAAAAGTGACTTTAAAAGTCACCAAATCTGTTAAGCAGATTAAAAACCACTTTCCGGATGAACGGGGCCCGCTCACTTTAATCCCATCAGATGAGAATGAAAATCTGACGTCTAAATGTGTAGCACCCCTTAAGCATTCTTCAGGGGTCCCCGCTCTCGACTACCGGTTATGCGAAGAGTGAATTTCTCACTTATTGTGGGCCCTTTGTCACGCCATTTGACACCTTAATGCGGATAATCTCGGCTCGTTGACGGTTTCTGAGTTGGAAGTTTCGTGTCGATAATGACAGGTAAATATTGACCGGAAATGCGGTGCAAGCGCTCTCCCCCCGCCTCCGCAAATATGTGCCTATTTCGATGATCGAAACCACAAAATAGACCGCAAATCAAAAGGGCCTGCCTGCTCCGCCCTGGCAAACAACAGCAATCATTTATTCATCGATTCGATTAAGGCTGATTCAGTCAGATCAACGTATCGAGCAAAAGACTACGATTAGAACGGTAAATATTTGATTGGGCCTTATAATGGAATGTCATATCACGCGATTGGTTAACCTTAAACGCGAGCGACGTTGATTTTTCCGGGAATAGTGCGCGACGCCCTCTAAAAATCGCTTTTTTACGGGAAGGTTCAAGGGAAATTTGCGGAAATTGCAACAATGCAGTTGTTTTTTAAGCGGTTGTCACGGCGACGACTTTGGGATCAGACTGTCTGCACTATGCGGGATTGATTAAACAATCAATAGCAGTCGGTGCAAATTGGAGTCTTGGAGAAATATTTTATGGGCAAATGTTCATCCAGTGTTGTACCCAGAGGGCTCGACACAACAAACGCACTGGAGACAGTTTGATATAGAAGTTGTGCAGAGCCGTTCGGGCACGACAGAATTTCAATGTTATAAAGAACAAATTGCGTCTAAAACAGAGTCTTTTGCCCTTAATCCAGTGTCGTGCCCAAAAAGCTTGTGACAACAAACGCATTGGAAGCTGTCTGATGTAGAAGTTGTGTCGAACCTTTCGGTGCACGACACAGTTTCAAAACAACATAGATAACACGAATTCGGTCAAAAACGGAGTTTTTGCGTTTAATTCAGTGCCGTATCCGAAGGGCTCGGCATAACAAACGTATTAGAGTCAGTTTGATGTCGAGGATGTGCCCTTCGGGTGTGGCACAGTGTGAAGACAGAACACAATAAAACGCAAAATGCGTCCAAAATCATTTTTTGCGCTTGATACACCACCCCCATTGTAGACCGGTTGATTGAGAAGTTGTGCCGAACCTTTTGGGTAGTTTGACCGCAAAAAATGACAAATTAAATTGAAAATAGTATTTTCATGCACTTAACCCAGTGTCCGAAGTCCGTCTCCGAAGGGCTCGGCACAACAAGCGCATTGGAGTCAGTGTGACGCAGAGAAGTTTGAAGTTTGTAGGCAATAAAACACAAATTTGGTCTAAAACTGAATTTTTGGCGTTTAATTCAGTGTTGTGCACGAAGGGCTCGGCACAACAAACGCATGGGAGACAGTTTGATTGTGAAGTTGTGCCGAACCCTTCGGGCACGGTACAGATTCAGCGCAAAAAATTATAAATTAGACAGAAAACAATGTTTTTTGCGCTTGATCCAGGGTGGCGCCTAAAGGTCCGAGCACAACAAATGCATGATGCAAAAGTTGTGCTGTAGGTACTCAACCTTAAGCGCAATAAGCGCGAAATTGATATGCAAAACCCGTCGGAGAATCCTAAAGAAAATTCGTGCTTCACTCAACAATTGCGATCCGTCGGCTCAGTAACAAGTGGTGCAATCAGTGTGTCCCGAATGCACGGTTTGGTTCGCACCAATAGCAGGGCGCAAATCGGCCCGTGTCCATGGAAACGGTCGTCGGGGGTGCCCAAAGTGCACAATCCAGTGGGGAAAGTTATTGAAAAATTACTACTTACTGGAACTGGTGTGTGTGCACACTGGGTGTAATGAGCTCGCAAATCGTGCATTCAAGTGTGTTTATTACATACTTCAAAAAATGTTTGGCAAATTTAAATCTGGAGCTCACCGTTTGAACAGATGCTGGAATTGTCCGGTTGGCCGGAACTGTCGGTGTCGCTGTCGTGATGGGGATTCGAGAGGGAGAGATCGCGTGGTCCAGGACTGGGTGACCGGCCGCCCTTTAGGACGGCGGTGGCCGCCGCCTCGGCAGGCCGATTCAGAATGTCCGTGATCATAAATCGGGACCGAGTGGCGGCAGTTTGCGGCATGGCCCTCGTCGTTTTGTCTTGCACGGTCATGCCAGACTCCGTACCCGACAAATTACCGCCCACACCCAACACTTTGGACGTTCAGCCGAACACTCACGCCAAAAGTGCACCAATCCCAAACCGAGTTCAAACACCTCGAAATCGGTTCGTATCAACTACTGACTGACTGGCGCTTGAACTTGCTGATCACTCGAAGCGGCTTTGCGGAACTGAACTCGATCCGGAGCCGGAGTGGGCATCTAGGCAGTAAATCAGCCATGTTGCCGTCCCCACCGCTGGGCCGGTAGCCGCTGCCGGCCAATGAGACGGCGGCAGCGGCAGCGCCACGGCCAATCGGTGCGCTCGCCCCGCCCTATTTCACTTTCTTGTGCCGCTTTCAGGGGGCGGCCCACCGACGCGATTTTATTAGATTGAGTATTTAGGCGAACGGTTTTATGCTCTAAAGTACTTCTATTGGTTATGTAATAAAGCCGGGCGAACTAAGCTGCGATATTAGTTCTGTTCTATTAGTTCGGCATTGTGTTCGCGATAATGCCCCCTTTGTTCGACGCCGAATACGGAATCGTGTCGCTTTTTATCCCCCTTTTCGGTCCCGATTATATTGTTGTTTGATGAAGGCGCGCACACTATCTCGCCCGAATTTTCCACACGAGACACGCCACACACTTTTTTGGCGTGGTCATTTCATTCAGGAAATCGACCAAAATCCATATTCGCCCACACCTGATCCAGGTCGGGGTTGCCGCTCCGTCTGCCACTTGTCACCTGTCACCTTAACCGTAACTGCAACCGCTAGGAGTTTAGTCAATTTTCACGCCACTGTGGGCGCACGTTAGGTTTATCGCGCCCGATCTAAGCAGGATATCCTAAATGGGCGCTTTTTCTCAGTGGCGGCTGCTCCGTTTGTTGCCCATTATATGGGCGAGAGCCGAGGGGCCCCATTGTGTCGGGGCGCCTTATCTGATCAGCTATCGGGCGTTTAATCAGCGATATTTTCGGGCCCCTGCGTTTTACTCGATAATGCCGTGTTTTTGGTGTGAACACGGAGAACGGCCAGTGGCGTACTCCACCTGTCGTTTTCCGCTCTCAATCTACGCGAGGTCTGATTGAATTTATCGCGCTTTTATACCTACCGACTACCTATAGCCGAGGAATTTCATAAGCATCGGCAACCATGTGCGAAATTGACTCAATTTTGGATCACCCTGTACAGTCGCAATGGCATTGTCACACTGGTTAGAAGAAAACCTTCTCGGTTGTTCGATTTTCAAATTGTTGTTTTCCAGGGAGCGTCTTGCACAAAAAGTTCTAAATCGAGGAAAGTGTTGGTTGCGCCTTTGTGTCAATTTGCGGAGATTGCAACAATGTAGTTGTTTTTTAAGCGGTTGTCACGGCGTCGCCTTTGGGATCAGACTGTCTGCACTATGCGGGATTGATTAAACGATCATAGCAGTTGGTGCAACTTTTAATCTTTCAAATATTTTACCGTCAAATGTTCATCCAGTGTCGTGCCCGGAGGGCTCGGCGCAACAAACGCACTGGGCACGACACTTACGCTGACTGAAGATAAGCAGGCTTTGACTTTTATCGCATTTTGGCCACATGTCACGTCTTGGCTAAGAAAAGTCTCTTAAGGTTCTGATCAAAAATAGCAATTTATTATTTTTCTCGAAAACAATGCTTTAGAAATATAGAATAGAAAAAACACATTATTCATAAAACCTTCGGATTGGAAAAATGTGATTTCCAAAAAAATTAAAAATTTCCAAATCTAAACCGACGCACAAGAAAGTTGCTATGCACTTTTTGTTTTTGGTATGTAACTTTCCTGTAACTTTCCTCCAGATTCTCGGGAATTTACTGGAAATCTGCACACTTTGGCATAGAAAAACATGGTCCGGCACTAAAAATGTAGATTTCCTAAAAAAATTGAATGCCAAACCTCAATGTTGAATCACTCTGTGCAGAGGCAATGGTATGGCAACGGTGTTTTTTTCCCCAGAAATTTTCGGCAAATGTTCGCGATCAAGAAAAAACCGCTAGGTATGCACGGAAACAGATGGACATCAAAGTTGGCCAAGAAGCGCTGAGCTTTTGGGGAAGATTTACAAGGGGGCGCACATTTGCATTGTTAAGGGTGGGGTACGCAAGATCTTGGAAAACAATGGGCGCTCGTCCAAACTATACAGCCGACATTATGCACTCTGCTAAGCAAGCCGTTTTCTTGTATGTTCTGCACTTTAGGGCGCCGTAAATCAACGCGCGAATGGGATGGCGCTTCCGCTTGTCTTTCTTGCAAGTTGCCCGAAGAATTGCTGTCACTCGCTTTGCCCCGCTACAGTCGCAATCCATTTAATTTATCCAAATACAGGGTTAACTGTGTGTATAGTTTGTGGCAAGCAATTTGGCAGTGACGTCCTTACTTGAGAGGCCTTACTAACATTTACTTATGTCCAAGGTTGACAGGAATGAGAAAGAACTAGGCCTGGGTACCCCAGTGAATTTTTAGGTGTTGGCGCAGTGCCATACAAATTGGTTGGTGCGCCAACCCAACGCACCGGCGCAGTAAATCAGTTCCGTTGCCGGGAAAATGTTGATGACTTTTTCACTTGTTTATAGATTTATTGTATGGGATATTTATTAATAATATTTTTAAAATTACTTCAAAATTTCAGATTTTTCCAGTTTTAACCAAATTACTCTGCCTTCTAAATGCTCAATTTTCTAAAGTTTCACTTAAAAATCTTGACAATCTTAAGGTATTTTCCGCGGAAAACTATGAAAAAAATTTCGAATCCTTCGTCGCTTTGTAAAAAGGTTTGAAATCCTTTTCCAACCTCGAATTTGGATCGAAAATCAAATAATTTTCTATCAAAGGACGAACAGAATAGCGAAAGTTTGTAACAGATTATTGTAGAGAAATTTCGTCACCTCCATTCCTCTGAAGACTGTAGAGTTTTTTATGTGTTTTTTTAGCTTTGACTGAATTTTTTCTGATGTACTTTTTATTCAAAAAGTAGTTTCACTTAAAAGTACCTACTGACGATCTGGAGGGCTATTAAGCGAAAAAGTTAAATTTATAACTTTTTAAAAATTTTACAAAAACTTTTTTCAGCGTCAAATTTGGGACAAAAACGAAAATAAATTCCTCCCGCTTTACCCGAAAACCAGTAAAGTTTTCTCCAGGGGCGACCACAAAACTAAAAGTGTTTAGCTAATTTACCTAATAAAAATTAGGGTTTCACGCAATTCATTTCGTTCATCAGGTAATCACGCAAAAAAATAAAAATGTTCTGATGATTTTCTTCTTTTCTGACAATAATGGGGAATTTTCAGCCAAAAATTACAAAATTAATTTTGTTACAAAATTCGCCTCATTCATCAGTTTGCAAGAAACTTTAGAAAACCCATTTCAGCTTCGAATGTGTCACAAAAACCAAATAATTTTATTCAGTTTTTTACCGAAAGAGCAAAAGTTCACAAAAAGTAATTTTGATAATCATTTATTTGGAAAACTCTTGGAAACTGGAGTTTCTTCACTTTTAGGTTTCTATACAACACTGTCTCTAAGCAGAAAAAACGCGCTTTTTCGCAACGTTTTACTGTAAAATAATGACAAATTGAATCCTTTATGCAAAAAAATTAACACATCGATTTTACAAGAAAACTCGTCGACTTTCTTTGGACTCAGTTCTGTTCTGTTCTGGAAAATCTAGATAACTTTTTTTAGTTGTTTGAACAAAGTAGTAAAACGTTACTCAGAAAACATGTTAATGGTCCTTTTTTAGATGTGAAAATTCCAGTCCCGGGTCTTGTAAGGCTTTAATAGATTACTTACGAACCCACGACTTATAACTCGTTAACTCAGTCAGCGGCAACAACTCAATAGCGCAACTCAACACAGGGTTACCCGGGCTAGAAACAACGACACCTATTGTGTCCCTGCCAAAAAGCTTGGGTGCGAAATTGCGCTGTTGCCTGCATGTCCTTGTCAAATGGGTTGCTCCGCCCCCTTTTTGAAAACCCTCACATGGTTGCCGTCGTTGCCGATTTAGAGGGACCAAGAGAGCAGGAATCAAATTAGGATTCTCATCAATTCCCAATGATGAAATGATAGAGCCACGAAATGACATAAACAGGCAACTAATCATAGTAAAGGCCATGTTGGTGAGCCGATCCAGTGGTTGTTGGAGCCGAGTAATTGGATGGGAGAGTGGCGGGCAATCAGGCCAAACCAATGGCGCAGACGAATAATCATTTCCACAAGTCATAGACGGCCGTAATGACAAAATAAGAGCTTTGCATGGCAGTGACACAATGGACCAGTGGCGCACTGGCGCCTCAATCAATCGGCCGCAAGTCTGGCAAACGAGCTGGCCGACTGCAGCAGATGAACATTCAAAGTTAACCGTGATGAGATAAGTAAAAGGATACCTGAATGCTGTATTTAATTCTTTTACGTGATATTCCAAAGCAATTTGTGGCCGGGCCCGAAGATCATGGGACTGATAGTCGAACACTCTAATTTTGGGGAATTACTGACAAATGAGCGCCAATTAACTTAATGTCAGCCTATGTGTGTGTGTGTTTTGTTTCCACAATCGAAATGTCATTTCGATTAGGGCCGGATGGATGGTGTTTTTTTTTCGTAGTCTTTGACTGGTCGAAAACTCTCTTTGGTGTTTTTTCTGCAATTAACGGCCAACTAACTATCTCACGCGCCTCTTAATTAGGCCAAAGGTTGATGCGAGGTTGCGCGATTATGCAAATGAAATCAACCGGTAGAACCTTGCAAGGGTTACAGATCATCAATTCATCGCATTCGATTTGAAATGTTTTGTTTCACTTCACTGTATTCAGGTTGTGCCCGAATGATGATATTGAAATCGTGTTATAGGTATCAACAGCTCATAACTCCACATGCGAAATTGTCGCTAAGACGCTTAATAATTGTGTTTTTCGCAAAAGATTCAGCATCTTTTCTAACGTCGCCCATTGATTGAGGTTATCTAGTGCGTCGATAGTCACATGGAGGATTATGTGTCTCTTTCGGCAAATCAAGACAATGCGGTTTTTTGTCACGTATTTTTGCGTTGTTTTCCTTTCAGTTAATTTTGAGTTAGTTTGTTGGCGTAGGCAAGGTTGAAGTGGTTTTTTTAATCAAACTAAAAAATATCAAAAAGTCAAATTAAATACCCTGGAAAGACCTAAATAATCTAAGCAGACACAAATGG